GTGGAGAGATGAGGTGGAACACCAGACCTGCAATGATCCAGTCTGTAAATGATGCTCTGAAGTCTGGTAAGATGCACGACATCATGCTTCACCCAAACGAGCTCGTTACCTCAACCACATAGACTGAACTTCTTGAGGACGTCATCCAATGTATAATAATGCCTTTAAGCATTTTTATTTGTTGAGTTCTCTGCTTGGTACATAATTTTTCTTTTTTGTTTTTGTTTTGTTTGTTTAAACAATTTAAAACATGACAGTAATGTCACTGTTTAAAGGAAACAATTGCTCAATAAATTAGTAAAATGCAACTTGTTATGTTTGGGTTCTTTCATCAAAGGTAGACATGGTGTGACCATTGTACTGGTTTTGATTTTTTGATTTTACTGTAACTGACCTTCAAAAGACCTAGAAACACGGACTCAGCAGTTGATCCTCCATAGAAAAATTATATGGCATACAGGCCATGTATTATTTGTTTTATGACATTTAGTGAAGGTTTTTGTTTGGATTAAGGAAATAAATGTCTCTTTCACCACAGATGAACTGTTCCTGTTACCATATCTTTTGAAATAAAACTGCAGAACACAAAGTAATTTAAACAGGAATGGGTAGAAGATCAAATCAAATTCAATGTATTTCCTAAAAATTAAATGAAAAACAGGAGCAGCAAAGGAGTGGGAGTGATTCTGAACAGGAGCAGGAGTCATGTTACCAGGAGTGAGACAGGACAGGATTTTTTTTATTTTTTTTACTCTGAACCAGGATTGGGACAGGACAGGATTTTTTCTGTGGGACCAGGACAGGACAGGAGTGAAAATCCACTCCTGTGTCATGTTCTAGGGTGGTGGGGGTGGGGGGATAGGATGTGTGATAGAAGAGGAGCGTGCTCTAGTTACACAAGGAGAACTGTTGGTCAGGCTACTTCTTGTTGCTCTCAAAATAGTTATTGAATCAAGTGCTTACTTATGTAGATAAACGTAGATGTTTAACAACCTGTTGAAATACACCATAATGTAGGAAATGGCATCTACTTTATTCAAAATTTTTAATCAAGAACCACCTATACCCCCCCACACACACACACACAATACCCCCCCCCCCCCACACACACACACACACACACACACACACCACCTTACAAATGTTCCTGATGCCAGAAGCATGTAATGTAATGTAGCATGTATAATTGGGTGGAAATCCCGGGGGGGTTGTATGGGTCTAGGACCACCGCCTCCATTTTTGGAAATAGAAGATTAACCCATCCATAAAATCATTTGTTAAAGTATGATTTTAAGCTATAGTTTCTGTGGGATCAATAAAGTTCCATCTTATCATATATCTGATCTTAATATAAAGGGAAGAAGGCATGTCCAAAGTATTCTTGTAGTTTAAATGGTTTTGCATTTTTGTAAGAGAAAAGAATAAGCTTCCGTTGTGAATGAGAGGACCGAGTGAACAGGACATGACAAGCCCTTTTAAAAAGACAAAAACTTAGCACTGGGGCGAGTGGAGAACAATGTTCAGTGCTCCTGTTAGTTTAGTTTCTGCAAGTTGTACCTGCAAACACAAAAATTAATGTTTTTCCTTTCATTTTAAAAAAGTTAATTTGACTGTACCTTAAGGGACCCCTGCAAAAACTGCTCTTAAAAAACTCTGTTTTCTGACCCCCACAATAATGAGGTGGAATTTTCGACCTTGCGTGTACAATTGATTAACCTTTAAAGTCAAGCTGATTGAAGCTGCCCACCGCAACCAATCAATCTGAGCAAACACAAACAGTAAAAGCCTCAGGCCAGTCTTTTTTCATCCACTTCTCATGGAGTATGAGCTTCATTTGATGTAATTTACAGAAATACGTTTGGTACTGATGTGCCTTTCATTATAAAAGACAATAACTCTCCTTGAGAACTCGGTGACATAAACCCCACCAATATCTCTTAATATTATCATTTAAACAATAAAACATATACTTTGAAAACCTATATACATTTTTTGGGCCAAAAATGAGAACATACGGAAGTTGTAATATTACTTATTTCCAGTGGTGGGATGTAACTAAGTATGAGTTCTTTGTTACTGTAATTAAGTACATTTTTCATGTATCTGTAATTTACTTAAGTAAAGTTAAATGTGGGTATTTTCAGCTTTTGCTCGACTACATTTTACATTAAGTATTTGTACTTTCTATTACACTACATTTCTATAATGCGTTGAGTTACAAGTTACATTCACGTTGCGTTTTTTTGTTTTGTTTGTTTGTTCATTAGTTTGAAAGTAACCAATGGAGAGAGAGGAGTTGGTCCATTGAATGACTGCAAAGTGGTCAGGTAGCGTTAGACCCGCCTTCAAGAAGAACTGGGCCAATGATGTATATTCTAGTATACACGTCATTGAGCTGGGTGCACCCACAGCACTGCTAAGACACCCAAAATTGATTCAACCGCCGAGTCAGACGGAAGATATGCACCACCAATGGCCTTATTAAAAGACTACTGAAAGATTATTGAAATATTATTGAAAGACTGTTCAGTACAGCAGGACAGATTCTCCCTGCCAAAAGAGACAGAATGGAATCAAAAAACTTTGAAAACCAACTTCTTCTGAACTTGAACAAGAAATTCTTGCTGCAATATTAAAATGTGTCAGTTCATGATGTTAGGAGACAAGAGATGTCTCCAAATGACTTGACACTCGGGTCCAAGTTTTGAAAATGGTGTCAGGATGGAAGTTAAAATATTGTTCTGTTGTCACGCAGCTGGATATCTCATCGACTTGAAGACTTGATGGTGTGTCTTTTTGCTGCCATTTGTGGACTTTAAGGACGCATATTTAATTCGATTTATGATAACTGGTTCCTGCTTTTTGGATTCAGCTGGTTGCTAGTTTTATCAATAATCAAGGGAGTTGTCGGTAGCAAATTTGGATCCGATCACTCTGCTTGCCTTTATGATGGCTTGTTTTGTGTCTCGAGTACCCAGACTCAAATGCTTTGGGCTGAATGGATCAGATCTTGGGGATTTTACTCAGTCACGTTTCATCGGTGTGGCCATGTAATTTGGACATTTTGGAACCGAGTGGACCAACACAGACTCAAGATAGATGTCATTAAGTTCTGCCTGTCCCCAAAACAACTGTGTGTTTATCTGAATTTGGCTCTCCTGGCTGGTCTTGAAAGTCATCTTATCTGAATTTGCCTGGAGAGCATGTGATCTGACGCTCACCACCCCTCCCTGAGGAATTTCCAACTGATAACCAGATGAAACCAGCTGAATAAACTTTGTGTCATCATTTCAGGACTCTTGGATTCTAATAGTCGTTATTCTCGGCCATTCCTCGACATAACTCGAGAATGTTTATGGATCTGGACATTGACTGATTATTACATCCTTATCAGAACTCTTACAGTGCCCTCGAGAGCATCTATGAACATGCTGACAGCTCTCACCTCCCCCTCCTCTGCAGAATGTCTATGTCAATATGTGCTTGTTTGTGCGAGGTGTTTTTTTTAATATTAGAGGGTTTTTTTTCCTCAGGCAGGAAAAAAAAAGTCTCATAGGAATTTTTTTTCACCTCCAACTCCTACATGTGTCCAGTTTACCACTGTTTTTGTCTGTCCAAAAAGGTCTCACTTGTAAATGAGTCTTTCAGGCTTAATGTGATTTATCTATTTAAATAAAGGTTGAATGAATTGTTCACTATTGACCCATTACAAGGTTGACTAGACAGTATTTTAACTAGAGTTGATGACAAACTGGAGTTGAAATGATCAGTGTCTATTCCTTTGTTAGGTCTAATACTCCTTTTTTCAAACAGATAACTTTTACTTAAATGTGTTTACTTCAGTTAAAACGACACATTGGTTTTGCTTTGTGTTAAATAAAAACTTTCAAAGGTATAATCATTCTTCTTTCTTATTTTACTTAATGGCATTTAACTTGTTTGTTTGTTTGTTTATTTGTTTGCACAAAAAGAAACAACATACATAAAAGAAAAGTTTTTAAAAAATGTGCAGGAGAGGTCATAAAAACCAATGTCGGGCTTACAAGCGCCCTCCCTCCCTCCCTTCTAAAAAATAAAGAAAAAAAATCATAAAAGTTTTATACATAAGCTTACATCTTACTTTAAACACATCCAATTACATACCAAAGCAAAAAATAATAGTTTATATTAAATAATTTAAATTGTCAAAAAATATTAAAATGATACATAAAAAAAAAACAAAACTAATGTGTTAGAAAATCTATAAAGTTTGTTTAAACTTTCTTTTAAATACAGATAATGTTGTACATGATTCACCTAATTGTTTTAAACTGTTCCACAGCTCAACACCCTGATGCATGAATAAAAATTTAGCAACAGTGGTTCTACAGAAGGGGACATGTAAATCATACCTCCTTCTTGTAGAGTATGAATGATAATAAGAATTAAACTCAAAGAAATTATGAAAATATTTAGGTAAAGAAAATGGAATACATATAACTTTATACATCAGAATTCCTCTGCATGTCATCCCTGAAATTCTGACAACCAGAATCACAAGTCCAAGTTGAACTGTGTCACAAAGTAAAAACAATAAATACATGTATTATCTGCAACATTGTTCATTAAAATGGCTCAACACTATTAATGTATTACAGAAAATATACTTACTGTAGGCACACTTAATTATATTGTAGACCATTTCAGTAGGTAATACATTCAGCAAGAACTTTGTACTTTCACTTTTAATACTTTAAGTATTTTTAAAAGCAAGTACTTATTTACTTTTACTTAAGTAAGAACATTAATGTGGTACTTCTACTTACTAGAGTACATTTTTGTCTGTTTATTTGTACTTTTACAGTGTTTGAGTATTTTCTCCACCACTGCTTATTTCTAGTTTCACACAGTAACCTAAATTCTAAAACAAATACGGTAACTTTCTTTAGCGTTTCGCAAAAATATTCAACTGAATATAGCTGTCATGATTTAACGGACGACAGGTCATTATTTCTGTGTACCTTGATCCCTCCCCAGGAGTGGTTTGAGAGAAAATCCACGGGTGATGTTACACCTGGTTGGACAGGATACCTCAGGAGGAAGTCCAGCTCTGCAGGGTTTATTTCATTATTCATCAGGAGGACCTGGGGACACGATGGACAAGAGGACATAGTTGGATTTTCAGCATTTCTTTCCACTTGATTAGATTCTGACAAAACGCGTTGTCCCAGGGCCGGCTTGTTCTCGAAACATGCCGAGCAGAAGATGAAGGCTGCTCCCTGTCCTACCTGGAACATGAGCTGAGCCGTGTACGTGAGCTTGTCACACTCAAACAGGCCTCTAGTGGTGTACTGAAAGACGGAGAAGGTGATGCTGTCGGTTAGGTTGGACACCCTCTGCCTCAGAGCTTCATCCTGTTCAGCCTTTAGAACCGCTTTCTGGAAGACCACGCTGAACGCCTGGGGGGACACCAAGGAGAAACACTCTTCAGTATCTGAAGTGAACACCCGCTAAAACACTGCAGAGCTAGGCACAAATTCTCTTTGGCTCATGTGTGTAGAAGAAAATCCATTTCACATGTGGATAAATCTGTTCACCTGGAAATATTGATTATGATTGGATGCCCATAGGCTGGGTCAAAAAGAGTAAGCCCCGTTGGTTTTATAGATTTTCGGAGATTTACTGACCTCAGAAGGGGCTGCAAATTAAAACCTGTCACAAATATGAAGTGTCTGTAAATACACTGCGTTTAAAATGGCTTTCATGCAAAGAATTTACTATGGCTGTTCACAAAACTGTTTTATTAAGTCTGACATGTGGCCTGAAAGACTGAAGCCATTCCCTGCCTTGGACAGTATACATGTGAAATCTAACTAGTAAAGTTTGAAGATGTAGACTTTTTATTTAAAAAACATGTTTAAATGTGACACTGCAGAACAAACTGCAGAATTTCTGCACAAAAATATAATTTGGGACTTGCTTTTAAAATTATTTCAACTATGGTAAAGCCTGACTCTTATTTCAAAGCTCCGGGTTCAAAACCATGTTCTTCTATTTAGGTGTTTAACTTTAAATATGAAATTTTTGTGCAATCCTAAAGTTAAAATGAGAACAAAACCGTTGAAATTCCATGTGATTTATTTGGCAGCCGTGATGAAATAATGAAGCAAAATTGAACTTGATAGATAATTTTACATCTGTTGGCTCAGAATCTGCTGAGTCACTGGTTGCCATGGTGATTTTCACTTTTTTTTTTTACCGTGTAGCAGAGGGAGGAGATGGAAAGCACAGCAAAACTCTTCATCAGACAGGCAGACAACATGCAAAAATAGAAATTGTGACTCAGAAAACTGTCCTTTTTGGAAAAGTATGAACACTTAATGAGAATCTCTGCTTGAAGTTTGGAAGAAAACAAACCTGAGCATAGATATAATGAAAGTAAAAGAGTTTGGTTGTGCATTCTGAGCTCTGGGGGGATTTGGAATAAATATAAGGCCTATAGCAATGGCAGACAAACTGCATAAGGACTGTAAGGTTTGTGGGAGAACGAGGACTGTAAGTAAAAAAAATATTAGATAATTTAGCTTAGAAGTTATTGTGTGACATCATATAACTTTAAGGAAAAAAAAACTTAAAATGCCTGTGACATCAATTTTTGGTAATAAATATAACTACAATTTTGAAAACATAATAACATTTGGCACAAAAAAAATAAATAAAGATTATGCGCCGCTGAACTGAACATTTGTTGAGATATTACCATGTTCAGAAACAGGAAGTGAACAGTAAGTAGTAGTTTAATTTAGTAGTATATACATAGGTATTTGAAACCCTTCCCACACTCTTGCAATATTCAAAACAATGTTTCTAATCTCTAAACACTCTAAAAGAGCACAACATGTCATGATTTCAGCTCCCCGCCTCATCTGCTCTCAGCCACCTGCAAGCGCTCTTGGCCACACCCACTTCCCCACTCTGCATGATGAACAGCTGATCAGCTGCAGCAGGAAGTTTATTCTGCAATATGGGTTGCACAAAGGTGCAGCAGGTGCTAAATAATTTAAAATAATTTATTTTAAATAAAAATTTCATGCCGATCATGCGGCTCATCCATCAATCAGCCAATTGTGTGTCATGTCCAATCTTATTTTGAAAAACCGCAATAGAGAGAGTCCGCGACAAACGAACCGTGAAGTAGCGAGGGACTACTGTATTGTGATCCTGTTTATATTTATTATTCCGACTTCCTACTTCTTCTAGTTACCTAGTTAGTTCTTCGAGTTAGTGGTTAGTAAACTGTTCTGTATATTTTTCTGTATCTTTCTCGTCAAACAATTTTTGTGTCATTTCAACAAATCATAAATCAAAACATTTGGCTCTTTCAGGACAATCCTGCTACAACTTTTTGTATTGGTGCAACTTTAGCTTTTTGAAACATTTAGACTTTTCTGCCACTTTTTTCTCATAGAAAATTAATTGAGATCATTTTACATTCTTTAAATCTTTAGATCTGTTTAAAATAGTTTACTGCTACTTTCACATTTTGTTCGGGTTCATTTTCTTTCAGCTTCCTTGTGCTAATAAAATTTTTTTTTTTAATCAGTTACTTTCAGCTAATTTCAGTTGTTTTGTGCTCTTTTCTAATTCTTTATTCTAACTAAAACATTTTTGTGCTTCTTTTAACTTCTTTCTATTAATTTCAGCTGGTTGTACTCCTTTCAGTCTATTTCTGCGTCAGCTTTTTCTGCTATTTCAGCTACTATTTAACGAGTTTTATGCAAATTTTAGATTATTCAGCTTATTCCACATTTTTGATACTCATTTCAACTTTTTTCAGCTAAATTACCAGTAGGTAAAAATGTGCTCTTCCTTCTGGTAATTTAAGCTTGTTTATGCTTTTTTTTAGCTGCTTTTCATCTGTTTTTTTTGCAAATTTCCATTTTTTTTTCAGATAAGTTCCATTTTTTTGTGCATTACTGCTTCTTTCAGCCTAATTGAGCAAACATGTTCTTTCTGCTATCTTCTGCTAATTTAAGTAGTTCTACCTTTTCAACTACATTTTTAACATATTGTAGCTAATTTCAGCTGTTTTCAGATAAATTCAAGTTTTTTGTGGTAATTTCTGCTACTTTCAGCCTGTATAACATAACTTATTTCTACTAATTTCAGCTTGTTAGCTTATTTATGCTAGTTTCAGTTATTTCAACTACTATTTAGCTGTTTTGTGCTATTTTCAGCTTTGTCAGATAATTCCACAATTTAGCTCATTTCAACTCTTTCCGGTTCTTCTAGTAGTTTGTTTCTTTCTTCTTTTCAGCTACTTTTAAGCTATTTTCTTTGCTAATTTCAGCTTCCTTTTTTTTAGCTAATTTCATAATTTCTGTGTTAATCTCTACTTATTTAAAACTAATGGTAATTCAGCGAATATGTGTTTGTTCTTTCTACTAACTTAGGCTTGTTCTTTCATTTCAGCTACATTTATGTGGTTTTTTTAAAGTAATTTCAGCTGTTTTTCAGCAAGTTCTTCAGCAGCATTCATACTGCATTTAAACAGAAAATACAATTTCTGTATCCTGATGCATGCTCAATAATCCAGGTAGAAAAATCTAAAAATGTTAAATCTGGTCCTCTGGACATTCAAAAAAACAAAACAAAACAAAACAAAGCAAAATAAACAAAAAAAATGTAGAAACGTTTCATCTTTCATCCGAAAGACTTCCTCAGTCTGAGGTGCTGTTTTCAGCTCAGTCTCTTAAATAGCACCTTCTCAGAGTGGATCAACCAGTTTTGCTGCTGACAACCAAAACCAGCTGATCACATGATCAAGAAGGACCATCAGCCTAACGATGGATCATTAGCACACTGATGGCTGTTTACTATTCACAGGGGGCTGAGTGATAATAGCAATAACAGCAGTGTAAGAGGGGGACAGTTGAACCCGGAGGCCTCCACCCCTGTTTAATGATGGACGATTTCTTTTCACAAAGATGGCCTCCTTTACTCCTCTCTCAAACCATTATTCCTCTCTATCCAGGATGTGAACATCTTCATCCCTGAAAGAGTGACCACTGGCAAGAAGATGAGTGTAGACCGCAGAGTCCTGGCCTGATGTTGTTGCTCTTCTGTGCTGGGCCATCCTTTTGGCCAGTGGCTGTTTAGTTTCCCCGATGTAAGACTGATCACAGCCCTCCTGACACTGAACAGCATACACAACATTACTCTGTTTGTGCCGGGGGACTGGATCTTTGGGATGAACCAGTCTTTGCCATAATGTATTTTGGGGTTTAAAAGCCACTGGGACGTTGTGTTTAGAAGGAGGAATTTCACACAAGACAGGCTCTAGAGCAATGTGGATATCCTAAATGGGCCTTCCAGAAAGCAGAGAAGAAACTCAAACAAAACTCCAGCCAGCCATCAGGTGAAAAGGAGGAATTTAGACCAGTGGTCATTCCATATGTTGAGGGAGTATCAGAGAAACTGAGACGTTTATTTTCTAAACATAACATCCCAGTGGCTTTTAAACCCCAAAATACATTACGGCAAAGACTGGTTCATCCCAAAGATCCAGTCCCCCGGCACAAACAGAGCAATGTTGTGTATGCTGTTCAGTGTCAGGAGGGCTGTGATCAGTCTTACATCGGGGAAACTAAACAGCCACTGGCCAAAAGGATGGCCCAACACAGAAGAGCAACATCATCAGGCCAGGACTCTGCGGTCTACACTCATCTCCAGGCCAGCGGTCACTCTTTCAGGGATGAAGATGTTCACATCCTGGATAGAGAGGAACCATGGTTTGAGACAGGAGTAAAGGAGGCCATCTTTGTCAAAAGAAATTGTCCATCATTAAACAGGGGTGGAGGCCTCCGGGTTCAACTGTCCCCCTCTTACAATGCTGTGATTGCTAGTATCACTCAGCCCTCTGTGAACAGTAAACAGCCATCAGTGTGCTAATGACCCATTGTTAGGCTGATGGTCCTTCTTGACCATGTGAGCACCTGGTTTTGGTTGTCAGCAGCAAACTGGTTGATCCACTCTGAGAAGGTGCTATTTAAGAGACTGAGCTGAATACAGCACCTCAGACTGAGGAAGTTTTTGGGATGAAAGACGAAACGTTTCTACATTTTTTTTATTGTTTGTTTTGCTTTGTTTTGTTTTGTTTTTTGAATGTCCAGAGGACCAGATTTCACTTTTTTAGACAATTTCTGTAGTTACAGAATGGTACCTACTGTGTATGAACCAGATACTTACCTGGTACAAACCAGGGGCATAAAATTTAAGTACCAAAAACAAAACGTTTTAAGTACAAGGTAAAAAAGTCTCTGTAATTCAGCCTGGTCCATGAAGGTGTCTTTTATGTACCACATATAAATATACCAGGCTGTAAGATATATTGCTACCTACGTCATTCTGAAAACGTGGGGCAATTTCCATTTAGCATATTTCCACTTTGCTGTAAACCTGTTGGGGAAAACACATTATAATGCTCACTGTTTCATATCATCTAGCGGGTCAAGGGTATGAAAACTCTGAATGTGTTTTCCTTTGATTATGTTGGGGAAATAACTCGGGCAGAGGCAGCTACCTGAAGAGTCGGGGAGTGATTGCAAACCATATCTCAGGCTGCCTTCTCTCAGGCTCGCTGGCTGACAAGATGAGAGACATTACACTCTACATAACCACATTAGGGAGCCACAAACACAATAAAAGCAGGGCAAAGAGCATAAAACATGATGAGCAAATCGAGGGAGGAGGGGGCGGGGAGTGTAAAGAGGGGTCTCCATGGGAGCCTGAGTGGTAGGTAGAAAACATGGTGGGTCAAGAGAGAGCCTACCTTGAGTGAGAACTGGTACATGGGGTGGATTTTATTGAGATCGTTCATTATGAAGTACAATAAGGAAGCCCGGGCTGCTGCTGGTCGGTAGTGCTCCCGAGCCTCATTGAGCTTGGCCTCTGTCACCTTGGCTTCTTTTACCTGCAGTAAAGACATCCCAGTTGAAACAGTCACCTTTCCATCTGCACAGAAGGGCATGCACACCCGCACTCACACGCACGATTTATTATTTAGCTAATGATGAGCACAATCCCACAGAACACCCTCCAGTGAAGAGCAGAGCTATTCCAGTTTCACAGCTTCACAGTTCCAATCAAAAGGCTCCCACATGGCGCAGAACACATCAATTACGTCGAGAATTTACTTTTTAACAGCTACTGCCTGTGCAATTATGTTTAGAAATGAACATCTGCAAAGGCGGCGCTCGTCTCCTCGCAGACAGAAGGCACTCTCTCACATCATCGTCATGCTACAGTTTTTCACAAGTGCTGTAAAAAAAAATCTCAGAGGCAGAGACGAGACACCCAGGCTGCCATGATGGGATCCTCAGACCAGGATGTCGAGATGTCAACATTTACTTAAAGGTAAAACTACTGGTAAATAAAAAAAGGTCTGCATAGGATTCAACTTTAAAACAAGTCTCTTCAACACCATATAAAATAAATGCTTTGTTTCCCTTAAAAGGATAAAATGCCTTCCATGTTCCAGGTTGTATGTAGAAAAATTGCTGAAGCTGGGGTTGTTTAGGTCCAACCATGTGAGGTGTTAGCATTGGGAGAGCTGGGGATGACTCTCAGCCACTACTACATAAAATTCTAGATCTATTTGTCTTAATTTGACTCAGTAATAACCATATTTGTAGTATTAGAGGTTGAGTACCTCTTTCTGCCATCTTGAATTGAGTTAAATCAAAAACTTAAACAGTTGTTGATGTACTTCTTATGATAACTTTTTAAGAGTTTTATTAGAGTCTCTGTAGTGGTTCATAACATATTTTGCTAATAGAGAAACTGGATTCACTCCAACAGATAATAAAGTTTTAGGCAAAGATCTCAAGCAATGTGAATAGTGTTAGGTCATTTTTGGTCAAATTTATGGATGTTTTTAACCACTATGGCTGAGAATGTAATCTGCCCATGAACCAAATGTATGGTTTAGTAGAGAGCTGAATGAGGAGCTGGTTGAGGCTGCAGCGTGCAGCTGTCGCTTCAAGGACGCCTCCGAGTCTGTGAGCTCGGTTGAACTAATCAGACTATAAAAACAAGTTGCACAGACTGCTCAGGGCAGATTTTCATGACTGGTCTTCATGTGTACTTCCTGTATACCTGTGTGTACTTCCTTTATATCTGTGTGTACTTCTTGTATATCTGTGTGTACTTCCTGTATATCTGTGTGTACTTCCT